GGGGGCCGGGTGGGGGTGTCGGGTTGTCTGGGCGGGCCTCAGCGGCCGGCCGTAAAGCCAGAGTGACAGCCCGAGGCTATCTGGGTGCAACGACAATGGCCCCGTGAATGCCCTGTCCTCTCCTGGGGGTCTGCTTTGCCCCAGCGGCGGGGGCGGGGGCTGCCTCGTGCCGGGTACGGGGCGGCCGCGGGAGCTCTCGTAGCCCTGGGGAGTGGGCACCACCAACCCTGGCCAGAGTCACTCAGGGGTAAGGGAAGCAACCGGCGTTTGAACCCAACCGGGTTTTTCTAAAAAGACACCCTCTGCCTCTCTGTGCTTCCCTCCTGATCCCGAGAGTGACTGAAAGTTAGAACGAGTCCCGGGGAGGCCAGCCTGGCTTCCTCTAGGAGTCCTCACCCTGTGGCACCGGCACTGTCGCTGCTGGGGAATTTTCGCATCCCGGGCGGCGTTCAGGTGCGAGTCACAGCTACCTGCCTGCTGGGGCCACGTTTGACCGGCCTTTTAAAGGAGAGAGCCTGCTGTGGTCAGTTTCACTTGCCATGCCCGTCAAGCCCGCCCTTTCTCACGCCACTTGGTCCCACCTTCCAGCCAGCGGATAGGGTCATTCGGACTCCTGAGCCGAATTCTCTGCTCACCCCCACTCTCCAGGTTTCATGCCCTTTTGTTGGCGGAAGAAAGAGATGACAGCTGCCTTCTGTGGCAAGATAGACCTTGCTCTGTTTTAAGTCACTGGAGGAAACCGGTTGGCTTTACTTGGTTTTGAGAACCGGTGGGGAAGAGGGTAGTCATACTGGGCTGGGCGCCTTTCCCTCTTGACTGAGTAGTTTTGCATGAGATAAGAAAGAGCAGAATATGTAATTGTGGGGCCTAAAGAACCCTTGTTTGTAAACAATGCCTGTGAGCTCCTCATTGCTCCTTAATGGTCCTGCTGTGCCAGTTGGTTGGTTGGTTAGAGACTTTCTGAAGGTAGCCCTCATTCATTCATTCATTCATTCATTCCTCACATGACAACAACAGGGTCTTTGTCTGGAGAGGCAAGTGCTATTGGAACCAGACTTGAGTTCACATTCTGGCTCAGCAGCTTTCCAGCTGTGTGTCCTTGGGCACATTGCTTAATCTCTCTGTGCCTCACTGTCCTTGTCTATAAAACAGGAGTGATAACATAGTGATAGTGTGAAGATTTTTACAGTTAACACATATAAAACACATAGAACCATGCCTGCCACATAATAAGAATTCAGTACATGTTAACTGTTATTTCAAGGGTCTAGTTAAGGGAACTGATGTGTAAACAGATAGTTGAAATGTGTTCTTAAAAAGCTAGTAGCACAGTCACAGAGTGCTGTGGGAACTCAGGGGAGAAAGCTGCTAGCTCAGCCTGGGTGGGGGTTGGAGGTGGAGAGATGCGCTGGGAAAGCTTGGCAAAAGTGATGCTGGAGCTGAGTCTAGAAGAAGAGGAAGGGGAGGCTTGGCCAGGTGAGAATGAAGGGGCAAGTGTTCTACTTAGAGGGTGAGAGACACAAATAAGCTCATAGTTTATCCCAGAAGCTTCCTACTGTTCAGTATAGTGGCATGGCAGTTGACATGGTAGAAGGTGAAGCAGTATAGATGACGAAGGAATGCCACATTCATGACTTGGGTCTTTATGCTCAGGGCAGTGGGGAGCCCATGAAAAGGTTTTAAGCAGAAGAATGACATGTTTGGATCCATATTTTGGAAAGATTTCCGTGGGGTTCCATTAGAGGAGGGGAAAGAAGAGGAGAGGAGAGGTTATGGGCTGGAGACCTCTTCAGAGACATGGCAGGCTTCTGAGAGAGGAGCCTTGGTGCGGGGGTGGGGGGGTGCTCTTTGCTGAAAAAGTACTGGGTGTAACCAGTGCCAGGGGCAAGCTCCCTGCATGAGCCTGAACTTCGCTACCTGGCACAGAAGTGCCTGGTACATGTGCCCCTCTCTTCCTGATTGCAGATCACATGAGCAGCTGGGGAGGTGATGCTGCCCTCTCAAGCCAGTTGTAAGGGGTGCTACACTAGCTTGCTTGTGTCTTTCATTTGACCTTTGGGGAAAGCAAAAGGTTGTAGTGGTTAAGAGCTTATTTGGAGCCAGGTGCGGCAGCTCATGCCTGTAATCCCAGCAGTTTGGAAGTGGCTAGAGGATTGCCTCAATCCAGGGGTTCGAGTCCAGCCTGGGCAACTTGGTGAGACCTCATCTTTACAGTAAATCAAAATATTAGCTGGGTGTGGTGGCGCACACCTGTGGTTTCAGCTACTTGGAAGGCTAAGGTGGAAGGATTGCCTGAGACCTGCAAGTTGAGGCTGCGGTGGCCGGGAGCGTGCCACTGCACTCCAGCCTAGGCGACAGAGTGAGACTCCTATTTAAAAAAAAAAAGAAGAAGAAGCCGGGCTTGGTGGCTCAGCCTGTAATCCCAGCGCTTTGGGAGGCTGAGGTGAGTGATTGCCTGAGCCCACGGGTTCGAGACCCACCTGGGAGGTGAGACCTCATCTCTACAATAAATCAAAAAATTAGCCGAGCGTGGTAGCACGCGCCTGTAGTTTCAGCTACTGGAAGGCTGAGGCGGAAGGATCGCCGGAGCCCAGCAGGTTGAGGCTGCGGTGGCCGTGAGCATGCCACTGCACTCCAGCCTAGGCGACAGAGTGAGACTCCTACTTAAAAAAAAAAAAAGAGGCAAATCTGGGTTCTAATTCCAGCCCTGCTGGTCACTAGCGGTTACTTATTCTCTTTGTGCCCAGCTTTCTCATCTGTAAAATGGAGACAACAGGAGTACCTCCGTAGCAGGACAGTTGCGAGGGTTAAGTAATATGTTGTCGGACTTTGCACACACTGAGTAGTAAATGCTTGGTAAACGTCAGCTGTTATTACAGGCTACAGAAAATAACTTTCAGGAATTAGTTGAAGCAATTCATGGCAACTAGACCTGTGTCCCATTGAACTGTCAGAAGTGTCCTGAGGGGATCACAAGATCACAGATCATGGAATTTTATTGTATTCTTTTTGAAAAGGAAGTCTATGGGGAGTTTGCCCAGTCTGTATGAGAGCCATGCAGAGGATTCATCTCAGCTCTTTAAAAGAAACCATTTTAAAAAATAGAAGTAGGAATGCTGAGAAAAAAGTCGTATTTTAAAGTATACATGAGAAAAAATGTATTCAGAGTTTCTTCCATGTGTGTTCCTGCTAGTAACACTGGTGTGGTACCTGAATTAGCAGCTCAATAGGCATCAAACACATTGTGTGGGGTGACTCAAAATACAGAGCCCCAGTCCCACACACATGAGCTCCCATATGTGGCTGGATATGGAGGCAAAAGGAGGATGGAGAGGCAGTCCCTGCCCTGGAGGAGGTCCCTAACCAATCAGCACTTGCACACATCTTGGTGAATCTCTCACAGAAGTCTGTGCAGCGTATGGCAGAACTGAGTGGAAGTAGTGATGATTCACCTTGGAGATGCGGCGGAGATTGGGGAGAATTTAAGAGAGCCCTTAGAACTTGAACTGGGTCTTGAAAAGTGAATAGAGTTTTATGGGGGCCCATTCAGCCCTTCAGACAGGGGAAGCAGCATGGCATGGGCGTGGTTGGGTGTTGGTGCATGTGGCACTTTAGGAACCACCCGGTCCTGGCCCAGGAGAGCTAGACATATGCTGGTGCCAAGATGCTTGGTCTTTGCATTCTGCTGGTGATGGAGGCCTGTGTTGTGGAAGAAACATACTTATTAGCCCTGCATCTGCTTTAGAGGATGGACTGGGGAGAGTGAGTCTGCAGTCCCTGTAGGAGGCTGTTGCAGGAATCACCATGAGGGATGAGAGGGTCTTGGATCAGGACATAGGCAGTGGGCCTGAGAAGAAGGGCAGAGAGCAGAACTGTCTGGGAGAAGTCAGCTGAACTCTGGGAGTGTTTGGAAGTGATGGCCAAGGGAGGAGAAATTGGCAGGTGACCCTGAGGCTCTTGGTTTGGGTGACAGAGTGAATGATAGTGCAGAGATAGGTATGGCTCAGGGATAAGATAATGGCCAATGAGTTCTGTCAGCTCATTCACTGAGTCCTGAGCTGCCCTCCTGGGAGAGGATCCGTTGCAAAGTCTTGTGGAGCTCTGTCTGGCTTTGGGCCAGGCTTCCCTCTGCTTTTGCTTGGGTCAGCACCTGGGAGAAGGGCAGCCTTCCTTTTTTCACCTTTCCTCTGCCCAGGTTTGACCAGGGAGGTGAACTTCTTCAAGTCTCAGGAACTCCAGTTGCTGAGTCTGTAAAACTGCTACAAATCTTCAGCCTTCCAGTGGCCCTAAGAGCATTTTCCTCTGCAATAGCCACCCTAATTCACAAGCCAGAGCCCATGGATGGGGTCCTGAAAAGCAGAGGACCCTTGGAGGGAAACTGAGATCTAGAGAAAGACAGTGAGATTGGATCTACTCCCTGACCATGAGTCAGCAGATTCAGCCCCTCCTCCCAGGAAGGATTGGCATCTGCCAGAGGCCTCCTAGAACTCACTCAGAACCATCAGAGTGAGAGGAAGCTGTCCAGTGCTCTTGTCCCTGAGTCCTCAGGGAGCTCGAAGCTGGATTGGGCTGTGGAGAGGGGTGTGCTGGTGGGCAGGCCTTCAAACAGGCCCTTTGGAATTTGGGATATTTTTCAGCATCTGTCCTTGGGTTTGTGGTCTAAAGAAAGTAGATG